TCCCCCCACGTTGCTGGACTACCATTCAGCAACCGCTATCTTTATAGCTGACAGCAATTGGAACTCGATCATTTTTGAAGAGCCACTGGCTCCCCTTCCCTGGACTAATCCATATGAATAGGGGAGGAAGCAAGTGGGGAGAGGACAGACAGTTACTGTACCCCTAAAAGCCTCAGAATTAATAAACACTGTGGAAATGAAGGTTTGGGATAGATGGTAGCTGGCTAAGACTTAGCTTTCTCTCCAGAACTGTCATTTTCCTCTGTACAGAGCATGTATTTCCCACCCCATATCTAGGTCTGATTGGTTGGCCCTTTTTTATTGCCCTTATATAGCAGTCTCTAGTGTTCCACAGGATCCTCCCACTCCAGACACGGGCCCTCCAGAAGAGGGAAACCCACCAAACTCTTCTATCATGACAACAGTAGCCTGGTAAGATTGTGAAATGTGATATGTGAGGTCACTGACTGTTCTTCTGAGGGATTGTTAAAGGATGAATATTAAGTATGAAAGTATGCACTAGCAATAATGAAAACTACTCCTGATATAGCCAGGTATATAAGAAGAGGGCCCAACTAGAGGGCAGCACCTGGCTAACCTTGGCTGATCTCAAAAAACTAAGCAGAGTCAGACTTGATGAACACTTGGAATCAGCAGGAAATCCTAGAAAGTAGGTTAAGCTGAGATGTTGAAAAAAGGAAGAAACTGAAAACAGCTCTGAAACGCAGAACCGACGACTATGGCAAAATGAAGAGCCAGGGAATAGGCAACTTGAGAGAGACTGATTTAAAAAAATTAAAAATGCAAAATTGCAGTCATTAAAACTAAAATAAGCAAAACAGTCACTTCTCTCTGGGATGCCTTCCTCAGACCCATGATCTTCTGTATTTTTTTCCTATAATCACTGTTTGGAAAAATGAATATAAAAGTAATCCACTTCATGGTGCTAAGGTAGTCTTTCTTTCCCTGCCTTCCCCCACTTTCTTCAACAGCACAAAAGAACCTCCCCCCATCTACCTTTGATTCAACCCAGCCACTTCAGGGAACAACAGAGACTCCACAACCTGAGCACAGCAACCCACAGATAGAGCAAGAGCAGCAATTGGCAGCCAGGTAAAATATTGTAGGGGGTTGGGATTAGTAAATCATAGAAGAGGGAGGAATTTGATAGTTGCAAGAAGACAATCTCAAATTATTCATTAGAAGGCAGCAAGAGTGGAGGTTACATATAGTTGGAAACAAGCTATCAGGCAAGATTTTCTGGAAGTCTTTAATCACATAATATTGTAGTGTTGGAAGAAATGTCCTCCTGGATTCAGTTCCAAGTGGGGAAAAAGACACTGGAAACATGGAGGCTGCTTGGAAAGATGGTTTAATGGTGGACAGGACCACATGGTTTGAGTTCCTGAGCAGAAAAGGTGATCGCATGCTTC